TCCAATGGCTAATTGTAAAACTGATGCCCTTTAATTCTTTAAACTATTAAGAATAACCATTTTATATATCAGGAAAATCTACTGTCTATAATTACAGTTATTTACTGATACCCATAATAGTCCCTGTGCTTCAGTTTACTAAGTTAAATAGTAAGCAGTTGGATATGTGATTCCAGTTTTTATTTCTTGTTTAATTAAAGCATTTTCAGAAGGAAATAGTATTTTAAGCCCATTTACATTGAGTCCCACTTCTCCAGCTTATTTTCACATGAGCTTCTGTGTTCCCTTTAGATTGAACTACATTTTCATTTTCCAAGATAAGCCATTTTCTTTCTTCAGGAAGAGTTTCTTGAGGAAAGCATGTACACTTTCCTCAACTACTTTCCCATAGCTAATTCCTCATTGACTTTGGTTTCATCATTATAGGGTATTGATTTAACGTTGGAACCCCCATCTTAAATGTTAACTGCCATCTTATGAGGAAAGTTTCGCTTTTCTGTAATTCCTCTTACCCAAATTCCCCCCACTTCATTAGTGACCTACCCCAGAAGGACATGACCCCTTTGCTGTGGAAAGCCCCATGGTGCCATAGACCTAAGCCAATCCCATGTTATTCTCCACATGCCTACCTCTGACACAAGCACCACCAAGCCTATCCGATAGCACCATAACTACAACTCTAAACTGCTACCCCACAAAAGCTGAATACTCAAACATCTCGGGGCCTCTCTCTCCTATGCAGAGATGGCTTTTATTTGTCAACTCTGACAAACTCTCTTGTACATATCTACCTTTTCTCCATCCTTAATTTCTCATGTACCTGTTTCTTGCTTCTCACTTTCCCTTCAATCATGCCATCACTTTCCCTAAGTAATTGTATTTAATATCCTCAAGATTGAACTAGTTGTCCTCTCTATGTATTCCAATAGTACTTTGTCATTCCCCTCATCTAGACTTACATTTTAACTATCTACTACCCAACCCCACCACCACCACCATAAACTCCTTAATCTCAGGGATCAGTCCCCCTCCCCCTTGTTCAGTTAGTAATGGTGTTGAACAAGAATGTGATGAATAAATTAGGAAGTGGATGGAGCATAAGACTGCCTTGAAGTCCTCCTGAAGACTTTTAAATTCATTATCCAGGGATAAGTTCCTCCTGTATGTTATAGCTTTCCCCCTCTTTATGGAGTTCAGACACTAGAATCCAAGCTTCCAGAGAAAATGGAGGGAGATAGGTGAAGATGAGAAGGAAGCAAAGCAGTAGGAAACTCTTCTCACAAAGTCAAATGGAAGGTGAGCCCACACTCTATTTTCCTCTTTCCATTTTGATGACTGGCTTTCCTTAGAAAGGTGTAGTGATAAAATATGCCTCCCAAATTGGCCTTAACTTTTAGAAATTTCTGCTACAAACTTTAGGGAAGAGCCTTAAGAAAAGGCTCATAGTGTGTCTCACCTTAGTGTTCATTTCATTGTAAAGGTAGGTTGGATGTGGGATGGGTTAAAAGTGAGATTTACATAGCTTTGAAACATGAAATCTTTAGGGAGGGCAGCAATAGGGGTCTTTGAGGGGTAGGGCAAGGGGTGAACACAGAGAAAACTGGGTTCCAAGAAATATGAGAGACTTAGTGCTGAGAAGCATTAGAGGAACAGAAAAGATGGAACATCAGCTTCCTTTTAACTCCTGGATGGAAGCTTAGGAGTGAAGGACACATGAACTGGTGACTGTTTCTGAGGAGTCAAATAAGACCAATGTGTTGCTGAGAATTATGGTGTATAATTAGTGGTGGAAAAGAATAGTCGGAGGAGTTGACAAGGAAAGCTTCATAGAATAGGTGGAACTTACTCCGAAACTCAAAGGCCCAGTAGCAATTGGATACCATAAGAGCAGTGTGGCAAACCAGATAAGAAATCTCAAGGACCAAAGGCTTGCTGGTGGAAATGAGCATGGGAAATACAGGAGATGGTAGAAGTTAGTAAGAGACTTAGGGAGTTCAGAATTCTTCTGGGAAAACTGAGGGAAAGAAAGCTATTTTACTTCTTCTGTTATCTTCCTTAATTTGCTTAGATATAGCCTCACATCTTCTCCTGATAGTTATCCCTACCTTTGAAAGTACTAGATCAAAACCTAACTTCCCATTCTTTTCTAAGTTGGCTTTAGAAATGTTTAAGAGTATTTAATTTATTCAGCTAGTTGATTGAAAATAGAAAAAGAACTATGAAATTTCATAAAGTTGTTAATGATTTATAGTTAAGGATTTACAGCTTTTGAGATGTATGACCTGGGTTCCAATCAGACTCCAGGTGTTCTGTGTTATATGACCATTCAGCGAGTTGCCCCATTTGAGTTTATTAGGACCTAGAGCTTTTCCATCATTCTCTCATAATTAAAAAGTCCCGTGATACCTATTCTCAAAACCCAGACTCTCAGGCAATTTAAACTTTACCTAACTACAAAGAGGGAAGGTTTGTTTCTCTTCACTTTCTTCTCAAAGCTTTTCTTGCCACCAGAGTCATAGGCCAGAAACCTGACTCTGGGGATCCAGTAAATCAGGTTCATCCACTCACCCTAAAAAAACGAAACAGAAGAGGTAATAGTGAAAAACACAAAGGGAACTTTACAATGTAGCCGCACCCTTCAGAGTTCTTGACCCACAGGGTCCCATTGCCTTCCCTGAGTAGTAACACTGAAATAAAATTCCTTTTGTACCTTTACCATTACCATTTCTGTTGGTTTTAGGAGCAAGTGACCAGACCTGATTTACTAGATCCCCAGAGTGAGGTCCCTGGCCTAGGACTGTAGTAGCAGCTTTGGTGAGCCCAGCAAGGAGAAAGCATGGAGTTTGTTCATTAGCCACTTGGAGCTAACAGCCCTGGAATGAAGAGGACAGAAAAAGAGGGATCAGTGCAGCTACTAAAATTACATTCATTGGGGGGGGGGGTCTCTCCATTTCTTCCCACTTAGGATGGATGCTTTTTACTTGGTGAAGCAGAGAAATGAACTTTTGAACTCTATGGGCCCTGAAGTCTGACCTCTGGTAAGTTCTCCCTGACAGTGTACATTGGGTCTTGTCCTTCTTTTTCCTTGTCCTTTGAGATATTTTGAGCAATTTGGTTTATTTTGAACCAATTTGGGAAGAAGGGGCACTTTTGAGAAAATTTGGGTTGTTTTGAACCAATTTGGGCTTATTATGCCTTTTGTCTGATGGAGAAGTTTGGAATCTAACTTTGCCATGCCTATTGAAAGGTACACAGACAAACCTGGTTAGTTTGGGGAGATCTCTGTTGTGATTGGCATAAAAATGGAAAGTGCTAATTCTATGTTTGTGTCCTATATGGATAATTTTGTCTGTTTGGTTTTTGATAGCTATAAATACATGATAAAAAGATAATTAATTATTATGGCATACCATGATCTTGTTTTTTAATACCTTTATTTTGTTTAATTTTTTTAGGTGGTGCTGGGGATTGAACCTAGTGTCTCACACTTGCTAGGCAAGTGCTCTACCACTAATTAGCCTCTAATTAGCACTAATTAGCCTCTGAGTAATTTCTAATCTAACTCCAGTTTCAACCATATGTGTATACAGATGCAGCTTACTTTCCACTTCTCTCCTTTTCCCCATCATTCTTACATCTTTCTTCCACCTGTCTGTATTCTTTTACCCTTTTTATTCTATTCATCAATTTTTTTCCCACCAAATATTTTTAGTATCAACCTGGCACTTCAAAGCTGACTACTTTTGGAATCCTGAATATTCTCCCACACTACAATGTGGGGTTCAGGGATTAATCACTAAAGTTTGGATTTGGAATGTCCCCCAAAGATTCCTGAGGGACACAGGATAGAAAGATTCAGAGGAGCTTTGGGGAAGTGATTGGATCATGATGGCTCTGACATCACCAGAGGGTTGACTCATTGATGGACTCATAGCTAATTGGAGTATGGAGAGGCGGTGGCCATGGTAGGAAGCAGGGCCAATTTGAATAAAGTGACTCCTTTGGGAGTGTGCCCTTGGGAACTATATTGTTCCCTGGTCCCCTTATCCCACCCTCTGCTTAATGGATGCTGTGAGCTGAGCAGCTTTCTTCCACCATGCGTATTCACCTGCCTCACCTCAGGCCTGGCGTAATGGAGTTGGCCTACCATTGACTGAGTCCTATACCCAGCCCTATACCATGCCCTTTTTACATGAAAGTACAGTCTGATTTAATGTGATTGTTTCATGTATTCTTTTGTCTGTTAGTTTGGTTTTTAGAGTATGTTGATAAAATCTTTGTTTTCTATTTTATGTATGTTTGTATATATGTGTATATTGTGTGTTCTCTCCACATGATTTAAATTGGCTAATAAATAAATGAACACTCAGATACTTAAAGGATAGAAATACACAACTTAGTTCATGTGATTTGAATAAATTTTTACTAATTGAGCTAATTTAAATTTGTTAGTAAGACAAAAGTAAAGATACCTTTAAAATTATTAACACAATTTTGGCCTAGGTTACTAGATAATTGGGATTGAATTTGACTCTGTTAAGATGTTTACAGTAAAATGTTTATTGCTTTTGAGCAGGAAAAAATGGCTTAAAATATTAGCTATGCTTGTCTGATATCTTGGTCTTTGTGGGTAACCTAAAAGTAGTTGTTAAAAAAGGATAAATTATATTTGATATAAATGGAATAAACATTTACATATGTGTTAGAAGAACACATATGTATCATTTTTAAGTGAAAATACTGAAAAATCAATTGTTAA